CTCTGGTCCTGTACCTGCTGTTCACATTCTTTCATTAGATATATGAGTTGACATTTAGTTAGTTTAAAATACACACTGGTATTCAAGATTCAGTAATCCAAATTAATTAAACTGTTCCATTTCAGTAATTTATCTTTTTCATTTGTATTTTTGTTTTTAGTACTTCATTCAATCTTTCTTTCCACAAACTTTATCAATATTTTAGATTTCCATGTTATATCACAGGTACTGACACCTATATTGAAAAATATGGAATCACATAAGAAACACGAACGTTCCAAACATTATTCTATCGTTGTTGCTATTCTGACGCACTTAAAATGTACTATATTTGTATAATAACAGTAAAAGAATAAGTACTCAATTTTTTGCTAACTGACCAGTGTTTTATATAATTTATATATCTTTTTTTATTTAAACCTATTCCCAAAATTATAGGTGAAGTTATTTCCATCACTGGCATTCTTGACTGCAGGGAGTGTCACTGATGTCACAATATGAAGTTAGCTTGCTGAGATCTGTTATGAATAAGCCCACTCTTGACTGGCATTTTATGCTTCTAATAAGTAAGTACCCAAGTCATCTCACAAAACTTTAAAAGTTTTGATAAAACCCAACTTTCCACCCCCGGATTTTCCTTAGTATTTCAAGATTTACTGGGGAAAAAACTCAACAACCTACAGCTTTGAATTTTTGCCCAACTGTTGAAACGCTCTTCAGTGCAAGTTCTCTAAAACTGGCTATTTTAAGAACCAGTCTGACATTATTGCTGTTTGCTGTTGGAAAACGTATTAAATGAGATGAAAAGTATTCTTCTCTACATCCCCCCATGAAAACAGGCCAAAAATACATTCATTTTCTCTGCTTCAATGTACATCATTCTATAGAAGCCATTGACACCCAGCTCTCAAACAACTACATGTAAGAATTTGCAGACTCAGTATGCTTTCCTGCATTATATCCCTCAAAATCACATAAGCAGTGCTGTCCACAAAAATAAAAGTCTCTGGGCAATCAGCAACATGCTCAAAACAGCTGTCCTGCACTAATGACCTTCTATAATACATTTAGCTTGGACTTGTTTTTCAGTACAGTTTCCTTAGAAAACCAGTCTTACACAACTGGGCTATTCGTTAGCTCTCTCCCTGCAACAACTTTGAAATCATAAACTTATTTCAATAAACCTGACAAGAAAGAAAGAGAGAGAGGTCTCAAAGATGATCAGTTTGTAGACACTTCATGACAACTGGTCGCAAGGTCAGTGACAGGGTCTCCATTCAGACTCTTACTGGCAGAAATAAGGTTTTATCCCAGAGCTCTTTGGCTGATTTTTCAAAGTGATCAGATAGAGAGCAGCTCAAAAGAAGAAAAGTCCAGACTAGAAAGAAATAGGAGCTATTGCTTTATTAAGAGAGACCAAGCATAAAGCAGTCTGGTAGGAAAGGTGTACCTTCATCCCTTTTTTTACTTTTCTACCTCCCAGCTAAGAGAGAAACAAGATATCCAGATGCCCTTCTTCAAGTATGCACACCCTTTTCAACACAGGTAGAAACAGAGGTTTCTACAGGGTCCTATGCATTTCTCCTTTCCACCTATGTGCATGCAAGTAAACAAATAAATCCCTAATGCCATGACTCGGTTTCCTTTTTCATCACCTTCTCCACTCCTAAACTTCTCCCTCCCAATTCTTACCACTGGCACAGTTACACACTGAGAGGGAAAGGAGGAACCAGACAGTGCATCTCCTTGATACGTACTGCACATACTATACTTGCCACAACAGATCTCAATCCATACAACCTTCAGATCTTTTGTGGAGATGAATAAAGAGAAAAAGGAAGGGGGTGTACACTGATCCTCCCAGGTGCTTACCCTGCTCTTTTCAGTCTCCTATCATGCTCCCAGTCTGCTGAATCTGAAGTAGATGAACTGGAAGCGAGTGGTCTTTGGCTCCATCTCTCCTTCTGTCGATGCTGTGAGCCATCAATACAGTTTGTGTAGTGCAGCCAGTGAAAGAGCAACACAGAAAGTACGGGCTCCTCCAACCTTACTAGCATCTGCACTGCTTCTCTCTCTAACTGTATAGTGACCGTTCTGTTATGAAGTCCAGCAAATCTGCTAGCTAGATTCAACAGACCATATTTCACCCACTGAGTGACAAATGAAGAGAACTGCTTTTTCCAATCTGCAACCCAGTGACTGCTGCTGTGCATGAACATACACCAGCTAACACATGAGCTAGTTTTTCCACAATTACCAAGTTAAGCAGACATGGAGAGGATTTCAACTGACAGCTAGAGTTCTTACAGTGAGGTGAGATAGTCTGTGGAATATGGTATTCCAAGTAGTTAAAGTGATGGACAGAAGAATAGTAGCAGTGTACTAACGGCGCAGAAACTTGCAGTCCTCTGACAGCACATGACTGAAGTACTGGGTAAATCTGATTCAAAAAGTCAGCCACTTCAGGCTTTGGGTTCTAAACACAGGATCACAGGGTAATTCAAGCTGGAAGGCACCTCTTGAGTTCCAAACTCAACTCAGAGTCATCTGCGAAGTTAGATCAAGTTTCTCAGGACTTTAGCTTGTCTGGTCTTAAACAGACAAAGAATGGACACTGTGCAACCTCACTGGGAAAACTGTTCCAGTGATTGACAATTCTCATGGTCATAAAGGTTTTCTGGTACCTAGTGCAAACATTTCTGTTTTCTCTTCCCTCATACTTCAAAAGTACTACTAATTTCTTGGAATATTTTTTCCAAGATTTCATTTCCCTTCATAAAATGTGTTTGCTGCTGGCTTTTGCGTAAAGAAATCAGAGACATCACTGGGAAAAAAAGCCTTGAGTTTGACATTCATTCAAATCTATTTGAAGAATTAAAGAGAGATCACACTAGTCAGAACAATCAATTCCATATGTCTAAGCTATGGTCAAAGGTACACTCGCAATGCATTCAGAATGGAATACATGCAGATACGTAGGCAGGCCTGAAATATCTTGAATTTGGATAATTCCATTACAGAAAATAATCAAGCTGATCTTTGCATGTGGTTGGCACTCGAGTATCTACAGGTTTCCAACTGGATATTGCAGCCTTAAATGTCCAGTAACCTCAGTGATGAAAGCCTCCTTTACATTCACTGAAATTAAGTGCAGCTATCATGAGAGGCACTGGGCAGTGAGGAAATGTGATGGAATGAGTGATTATCACCAATAAACAGACCTGACCTGTAGCTGTTATCAGAGGCAGAAGTGAGCTCTGATGCTCGAAAGGGCTCTGGATTGTTGTGTAACTGATATAACACCATGAAACAGAAAACACGTATGACACTGAGATATGAGTGAGAGCATCCATGGAGAAGGTGACTGGATATCCACTCAGTCCTCTAAGATCACCTTTCAATTTTCTCATACTCAAAGAAATACAAGCCTAATCACTGCCACTGTGATTTCTGGTATCTCCTATAGGACTGAAAGATGTAATATGATTTCATTTCAGTCTTACACATACGGAGCTGCTCTGCTATGTTCCTCTCCATTACTTTCCCCAGGGAGAAATAACTGGAAATTTTATACTTAGGAAATAAAATGTGAAGTTGAGGAAAGAAAATGTGAAGTTGAACATCACCAAACGTGCAGACTATGACTTCTAACTAGATCATAGGAAAATGTCCCTGGGGGAGATGGAGAAATCACGTGGTTTGCTTAAAATTGGAATGGAAAAAGGCCCAGAGCAAGCTCAGGGCACAATCCTGCATTGGTCCCTGTGTGGTGACTAAACTAAATGTGACTGATTGTGATCTTTCTAGCACTGATTAAACCCCTCAAATTCTGCATTCAAAATCTGCTACATGCAAATTCCAAGGTAGAAACAACAGAAGCATAGCATCCTCCTATCTCTGGCTTCCTCTTGAAAAGGCAACACAGAGCCTGTGTATTAAACATTCTGCAGAAATCTAACCAGTACACCACACAGCAAGAACACAAAGTTCTACTCACAATAGGGTATTCAACCCTAGAGCTCAAACCTAACACTTAAATACATTGCAAAACAGGGAATACAACCAATAACTCCACGAAGGCTGAAATGAAAAATCTAGGCTGTCCGATGAGAATTGTTCTGAGCAAGCCCAAGCAAAATTAAAAGATCCAACCTGCACCCAGTTCAACCTCTAGTACTGTAAAGAGATGCATATGAATGTAAATCTATGACCTACATGTATGAATGATACTTGCAACACATTAGTTATACTGGCTTTTTGTAACACAGACACCAGGTCAGAGATTATAAAAATCCTACCATGCATAGGAACAATTAGCTTCATGGTTAAGCAAGAAAGCTTTGTGGCATTCTTAAGTCCACAGTGGTTGCTACCAGATGCATGTTTAGTATGTATCTGAATAGTGTTGTGGTGAGAGGGACCAAAAATTAATGCTATCGTAACAACACACACTGTTAAAAGTGGTATAGGACATTTGTCAGACAGTGAGAAAATAATGTCCTTGACAGCGTGTGTATATAAAACACATGGGAAGGGCAGGAAAAGAGGCAATGGATGTTTTGATGTGCTGCAGCACACAGACCTGTGTGAGTTTCAAGAATCTCAAAAGAGGTATTGCAGTGATCTTTGCCATGCAAACATTCCAGAAAACATGAAAGATTTCTTTAGGTCACAAGGCCATCTGCGACCAGTTAAGAAAGAAAGACTAGTTGTGGGAATTAAAGCCTAAGGCAGACATTGGAGGCTGTAGTGTAAAGTTTGCTTCCGCATGAGTATATGCTTATGCTGCAAAGGGCTTTCTCACTAATTCAAAGAGGTGTCAGAGCAGCAGACTTTGATGTAGCCACTCAGATTTACTTTAGGGACCTGGTTTGATCTGCTTGTCCTCGTAGTTTTCCCAAATGTCAGAGTGCCTGTGTGCTTTTGGGAAAGATTGGAGAAATAGGTGTTTCACCAAAAACGAGCTGTTTTTCTCTCAAGGGCTGTTTGGGTGGCTTGAATGACGTGTTTCCACATATCTGATGTCTTCATATGCGGCGTGGATGGAAATCATTTTTTTCTGTGGGGAGGAAAGCGTGCCCCTCAATCCCAATTTTATCTAGAGGGACCTGCGCTTACCTATCGAAGGACCTCGAGAGATCGAGGGATATATGCATGTGTGTAGGAGGAGACAGCTAGGTTTGCATAGCCCAAAGGCTTGGAATCCTCTCCGAAAGATGCGTGGCCCAGTGGAAATACGCTATTTCTCCTACCGCGTCCCCTCGAAATGGCTCCGCGAGAAGGAAAGGATTTCGTTTTGCTCGCCGCTCTCCCCTGAAGCGCATGTAAGAGGGAAGGAGGAGAGCAGACGTGCAGATCGCGCAGCGTTATGTATGCTCGGGCGACAATAAACCGCCGCCGAGCGAAACAGGGAGCCGCCGCCGTCCGCCCGCTCCCGCCGCGGGAGGCACGCCCCGCACCCTCCCAGAGGCAGCGCGCCGACCCGCACCTCCGGCAGCGGAGATGCCCCCGGCTGCGCCCCGCGCCGACCCTGCGCTGCCTCTCGCCCCGCCGGGAGCGGGCAGGGTGCGGCGCGGAGCGGTGGCGGGCGGCTAATGGCGCTGAGCGGCGGCGGGGAGGAGGGGGTACGAGGGGCGGCCCGCGACCCACCGCGCCGGCACCGTCGTGCGGAGGAGCGGGGGCTGCGGCCCCCCGAGCATCCCCGAGCACCGTCCCCGCCGACGCCTTACCCACGGTGCGGGATCCGATGCAGCCCATCACTCCGGCAGGTCTCCGGGAAGAGGCGGCGGTCTCGGCGGCGAGGAAGCGGAGGACGAAGGCGACGGGGAGAGGTCGGAAAGGAGCCGGTGCCTTCAGCGGGAGGCGCCGGGCTGGCCCAGCCGGGACCGGCGCGGGGTCATGGCCAGGTACGAGCGCGGGCTGCCCCCGGCGCGGAGACGCGGGCCGGGGGATCCCGCGGGCCGGCAGCGCGGCGCCGATTGGCTGCCGGCCTCCGCGGCCCGGGGAGGCAGGGCCGGGCCGGGCCGGGCCGCGCCGTCCGCCCCCGGGGAGCGCGGGAGCGGGGCGGAGGCGGGGGCCTGGCCGGCCGGAGGCGGGCGCCGCGCGGCCTCTCCCGCCCTCCGGGACAGCGCAGGTGAGCGGCAGGCGGGCGGTGCTGCCGCACTGGCGGGCGACGAGCAGGTGGGGCCGGGGGCGGAGGGGAGCGTCCCCGGAAGGAGAAGCGAGGGGCACGGGGATGCTGGAGATGGAGGCGGCAGCACGGGCGGGCTGGAGGGCGGCGATTCGCGCTGGTTTCCCGGTAACTACACTTGCAAACTTGATTCAATTAAAGGCAGCCCCCCTAGCGGCGGCGGCGGACGAGTCCCCCGGGAGGGGCCTGGGTTCTCGCAGCTCTCGCTGCCGAAGAGCCGCCGAGGGCGACGGCGGGGGTCCCCGACCTGATTTGCTTCTTCCAGAGATGCTGCCGCCCGGAGCGCTCCCACGTGCGGGTGCAGACTGCGGCGCTGCTCTCCGCCCTTCCAGCGGTGGACAGGTGAAAGGGGAGGGCTCAGCCCTGTGGAGGATCGCCTCTGGCCTTTCCCATGCCTCCCTGCCGGCATGGTTATAAAGAAGGATCTCTAGGGGCAGGTGCTACGTCTGCCCCCGTCGCGGCTCAAATTTGTCCTCGCCTGATGGCAACAGGCAAAGTCGTCCTTGTCCACTTCCCCGGCACCACTGGCTGTCCTCAGTTTTCACCTTCCCACCCTCGTGCTGGGATGTGCTCATGGTTTCTCCCTGTTGCTTTGTGCTTCCTTCATCTACAAATCCTATCTGATCTCACCAGCTTCCTTCCACCAGCCTTGATCACTAGCAAATTAAATTCTGCTGATCCCATACGAGTTATTTCGTTCTCAGCCTTGGGCCTCATTCATTTTTGTTTATGCTCAAGGCAGCCGAGCAGCCTTACTAACAGTAGAAATGGGGAATAGGTAAGTTCATTCTCCCATATATGGCTTACGCTGAGCCTAAGGAAAGATTTAAAGAAGAAAGAAAGAGAGAAAGAAAAGAAGAAAGAAAGGAAGAAAGAAAGAAAGAAACAGAAAAAGGCTTTACATAAAGAATACATTTTTGCCTGAGACTCTGTAGGTAGAGAGGGACTCTGCCTATATAGGCTGCTTCCAAAGTAAAAGTTACATAGGAAAGACACAGAAAAGATGGCAATATCTGAATACTAGCAGCTGTTACATATTTTCTCCTTCTCCATGGCACTGAAGATCTAGTAAGCATGGTGAACATAACACTCCTTACGTATAAGAGATCCCAGTCTCCTGTCCGGGTTCCTGAGGCCACCATGAGTGCTATAATGTTCTTCACAGCACATTCTTGTTTTCAGAGAGGATGAAATTCCTCCACAGTTGCTTTTTTTTCTTCTTCCTCCTCCATGCATTTCCAAATCTGTTAGGTTTCAAGCTATTTTTTTTGGTTGGGTTTTTTTTTTGTTTTTTTTTTTTAATGACTCAATATTTTCCTGATGTGTCTGAACTCCTGAAACCTAAGTTTTAAAATGCTGGGAAACTGTAGATCTTGTGGAACTTTGTTACCTGAAGGTGTTTTAGCCTCTCTGAAGAGCACATCCACATTGACTTCCAGGTCTAAACGCAAGGACAGGGGAAACAAAAGCAAATTGAAATAGGAAGAATGGTATTTTAAGACACAAGGCCTGTCTTAGATAAATGTTTTGTAAGCTAGTGAGTGCCCAGACAGCTGTTGTACGTGGATTGATCAGGACAGCTGTCCTGAGAAGGCTTACCAAAAACCCCACCAAACAGCTTTTGCATCTTATCCTTGCATAGAGAAGATGTATTACTAATACAGCTGTGGGCGATTTCTTAAGTCTTTCTCTTGTTTCATGTTTCAATTTTAATCCCCTTCTCTCCACCCACAGTCTAAAATTGTTACTCTGTAAACCTTCTTTCTGATTTCAGGCATATCTTTGCACTGGTTCATTTTCAGTGGTGGTTTCAGGTAAGTCACATTGACTCCTCATTCTCTTTCCTGTGCTTGACACTTTACCTTGTCGATCACTTTGTCTCAAGCTCATCATCATACCTGGGTCCTTTCAACTCTGGATTTGGCTTTCCTTTCATTGAACTACAATAAAATCTGCATCAGTCTTTTCTGACTTTGGCCTCAGGGTATGATTCCATAAGTAGCTGAGCAACTCCTAGCACTTACTGTGCCTGAAAATCAGCTTTCCATTTCTTGATGGATTGGCTTTCTGCTGCTTTAGTGACATGGTAGTTTACACAAGGATCTGGCATGTGATAATGATGCTGTAAGGTACGGAAAAGTACGGATCAGGCAAGCAGAGCAGAAAAAGAACTGGCAAAGAGGAGGACTTCTCACTTCCAGGGATGACAAATATCCAGTGTTCCCACTAGATTATACCAAAGTGTCTGTTCATTCACTGCACAGAACTATTGACCTGCCCTCATGGCTGGTGCCACGGACTCCTTTTTTTTTTTGTTTGTTTTGAATCAATACCACCTAGCTGTGGAAGTACTTCTACCTGTTAGCACCCAAGCATCCACAGCCATGCTTTATCTGCCATTTCTTATGTAGTCAGTTTAAGCAAAAGATAGTGTCTTTATTGGTTCTTACTCTTACATTTATTCATTACAGACCTTATGTATATAAATCTACTTTAAATAGTAAAATTCATTCTCATGTGAAGCTGGGAAAACTTTCTAGGCTATCAGTAGTTCTGACAGCTGCTTGACTCTTCCATACAGGAGGTTCCACGCAAGCTTATCATCAGAGAACAATTTCTTGTTTTTAATAAGCCAACACCTAACTTTTCTTCCTAAATTCACTTGAAGAGCAATTTTTATCATACATTAGCATAAGAAAAGAGCAGCTATTTTACATTCTGAAAAAATACTGCAGCATCTCAGTTATTAGATACAGCTTAGTTTGTTACTGACTTCTAACATGCTACTATAGTGTGTGTAGGAGACATTTCCGCTTCTGACTTTTGATTCAAACAGAGATTGTGTCAAAATGGCCACCAGGAGGATTTTTTTTTCTATTGAAGGAAGATGAAATTCTAAACTCAAGCCATATCTGTTAATGTCCTGTGATGTCTTTTCCGCACAAGGCATATTTTATGAATATTCTCATGTATGAGAAAAGCAAAAGGACTGAATCTCTGAACTAAAACAGAGCATAAGCAGAGTAAAGCTGAACTTTCCCCCTACAGTTTCTGTCTTTGCTTTTCCTGAGGTGCTGCTGCAAGGGTCAAGAAGTAAATGAACAAAAAAAAAAACAAAACAAAAAAGTGCTTTTTTTCCTTTGAAATGCACTTTCTGACAGGTTCTGAAGATCTTTTTGAGTATTGCAGGTACTTTCTTAGATAATTAGGCTACAGTTTCATGTGGAAAGTGTGTACAAAATATGTTTTGTGTAGTGGTGATTTAAATGCTGATCTGAAAGATCTTGGTAAATATAAGTGTTCACATAGGTGCAATGATCAGTGGTGTAAATTCTAGCTGGAGGCCAGTAATGAGCAGAGTACTTCAGGGTTCAATACAGGATCCAGTCCTGTTGAACATTTTCATTAATGACCTGGATTATGGAGCAGAGTATGCTCTCAGCAAGTTTGCAGATGCCACAAAACTAGGAGAAGTGGCTGACACAACAGATGGTCGTGCTGCCATCCAGAGGGACTTCAGGAGGCAGGAGGAATGGGCTGAGAGGAACCTCATGAAATTCAGTAAGAAACGTACAGTCCTGCACCTGGGAAGAAACAGCCTCGAGCTCCAGGACATGCCACCTAACTGGAAAGCAGCTCTGCAGAAGACCACTAGGGGAGTCCTGGTGGTGAGCAATTGAGATTGACAGACCTGTAGTAAAAAAAAAAAAAAGTGTGTGCTCCAAGTGAGCACTTGTTTCAGGGTTGAATGCCAAGTTGACCTGTACAGTTGGAAGTGACAGGAGCCATCCATCAGCTTCTTCCCCCCATCCTGCACTCAGGGAGAGGTCTGAGCAGGAGAGGGTGGGAAGAAAGATGTGCTTGAGCAAAGCTCTGCCTAGCAGAGACATATATATAACAGCACAGAGCAAAGCAGTTTCAGAAAAAGATCTGATTTTTAAGAGCTTCTTCCAAATCCGTACTGTAGCACTTCCATCATAACCCCGAAGACAAACTTATGCTGTAAATTGTTAATTAATTTTTATTTACTTTTTAAGACATGCTGTTAAGCATTGATTACCTTTTCTTTAAGCTAGTGATTAATTGTACTATTAAACCTAATTTTCTCTATGTTCCCTGTAGCTCTGTATATATATATATATATATAATATAATATATATATAATGTATATATTATAATATATATATTATATAAAAATCTTTTAAGTTAGAATACTGGAGCAAATTCTTCCTGAGAAATACTGCTTGTAAAATACAAAGCTACTGTCACTGTCACACTTGCTTAATAAATATATTAATTTCACAGTAATTAATTATCAGGGATGGTGATTATATTACAATAAATAATGTGCCCCATGTCTTCTGCCTTAAGTCCCTTTTAAAGCTGTGCAAATGCAAAAAATTACCAATATAAATCTTGCCACTGAATGTTCCACTTTTAACTAAACTTTGCTAACTCCAAAATAATTTAAAATATCATCCTTCTCTCTGTCATTCATCCTAACATTAATTTCCATCCCCAAAGATCTCGTCGGCAACCATATCTATCCATCTATGAAAAGACTGAAAAACAACTGCTCATTTTGCTTTCCTTCTTTGATTTATATTTTTTTAAAATCCTTACTTATAATCCCATAGCATGACCAATTTACATCACAGAAGGATACAGACAACTTCATACATTGCTTCTTGCAAGATGTGTCTTCAGCTGTGGAAAATAAGCAGAGGCCTACTAACTTTGTAAGTAGGAGATGTTTACAAAAAATAATGTCTGTATCAGATCTATAGAGGCAGGAATCACCCTCCAGGGATTGTTGCTCCAATACACTTCCCTGCTGGCCTTCTGCCACTGGCAGTATGGATTCCTCAGTAAATGCTTCTTCTGGCAGAGATCTCTGTAATTGCTTCACAGAAGTAATGGAGTAGATACCACAAGAGTTAATTCTACATCAAGCTGTATTAGCTACTGGTAGGATTTTTGAGAGGACTAAAAAGGAAATGAGATAACAAAATGACTCATACCATTCTTTCTTGCTTGGGAGATCCTTCCTTCAGTGCAGGAGACAAAACCTTTCTATGAGATTCAAAGAATGAAAAAGGAAGTACCAGCCTGGTTCAGCTACTGAAAGGGTGTAGCATATTTGACATACATAAATGGAAGGCTGGGTCCTTTCAATCTGGGAAAATATTTGAGGCTATGTGCATGAACTGAAGACAATAGGTGAAGATATTGACATAGGATATATTTGCATTACATATTGCAAAATAAGCTCATGCATACCTACATGCACCTCCAAGCAAATGTGATATTGTTCTGCCCATATCTAAAAGCCATAAAAAAATTGTAAGTTCAGTAGAATTAATCCACCCACTCAGTAAAGTAATTATCAAAAATTCCTCTTAGTGCTCAATGGCATTTTCTCCTACGTTGCTGAGGAGAAGTAATGGTGGCACCAAAAGATTATTTTTCCCCTTCTCATGCATGGTGAGTTCTCAAAATGGTCTATGCTGTCAAAGTAGAGATACAAACTTTGGATATCCTAGAAGAATCTATTGGAAACTGAACACTGATGGAGCATCCCAGGAAGGATAATGAGGAAAAGAGAAAGAAAAAAAGGTGGGGAAAAAAAAAAAGAGAAGGAAAAAAAAAAGAAAGAAATGGCAACTCAACATTTGGTGAATCTGCTGTAGTGAGAGTGGACAGGGTGCTCAGCATCAGGTAGCTAGTATCAAGAAACAAGGTCTAGGGAAATAGTTTTGGAGGGTCAGAATGGTTACATGGTACGCACTAAGAAAAGGGACGCTGGCATGAACTTGAGATGTGTAACAGGGTGCAAATGCCTTTGATGCAGTATGAGTCTTATTCAACGTTTTTAAAAGCATTTACTTCATTCTCTACTGAATGTCTCATTCCCAGTGAAACATACAGCAGCTACTTCTCATAAATGTCAACTGAATCTGTACCAGTGGTGCTGCTCAAACTGCATTTTTAAAAATAAACTGCAAGCAGTAAATGTGCTTTTTAAATTTCCAGTGTTATGTAAAAAGGCATGGTATTTTTAGCTTTACAAAATATCAGTTGTCATCTTCTCATTCTGTCCCTATGGTGTATTAGAGATGGGGAACGAGGAGCTTTCAGAAAGTGAAGCTATTAGCTCTTTATGAGGAAGGGATTTTCTGCAATACTGTTATGCAAATCTTAATAAAAACATACAGCAAAGACACAACAAAGAAGGTACTTCTTATTTTAAAAGCCAGTATTTCTGTCCTCACTACCAAATTGTTATGTCTGGAATAACAATAGTATAATGTATCCAGAAGCAAAATATCAACCGGAACTGTTCACTCATGCTGACAGAATGGCCCTCGCTTTCAAAAAATGATCCAGAAAATAGTCTCTGACACGTAACACTGAGCACGCAGCTGCTGTGAGTAAGCACTGGCACATCAACATTGACTAAAACTGGTTTTGGAATCAAGTCAGGCCTACTGCTGTTTTTAGGAGATCAGAATAAACCTACCTGCTTTACTATGCTGTAATCCGCATGAGATCTTAAAGGATCTAGAATGGCTCTCTTTGTGCAGATTTGGGGGTGACATGTCGTTTCCTGTCTGTGTTTCAAGACTTCTGAGGTCTAATGTTCTCATCTGCTGACAAGCTCCTTAATAAAGCACACATGGACCTTGCTTCTTGCTGTGTTCTCTACTGAAATTTGAGGAACAGGATCTTTGCAGCTATAGAAGAGTCCGGTGAAACCATTTGCTATCTATCTGATGCTTCCTGTAGGGAGGCATCCCCTACCAGAAGGAGACCAGGAAAGGACAGCATCTTGTTTACTGCCTCACCTCAGAGTATATGGACTTATATGTATCAGCACTGGGCAAAGACCCTGTGATTTCCATAGACAGAAAAGTGCAGGAAAGACAATAGCCACCATTCTGGGCAGTATTACATCCAACTGATAACCCTTCCACTTCTCATAAATATCAAGGAGTGCTGCATTAGAACAGTGTGATCTTAGCCAGAGCTTAGACACTGCTGTGTCTTTATGCTGGCAGACAATAATGAGCTATTTCTTCTTAATCCTTGTTGATTCTGTGGCTGACCAGCAGCTGCAATTAGGTAATGTTGCCATGAATCACTTATGTTTTAATGCTTACAAGTACTTTCTGTGGTGGCTTGTCATAATCCAGCATCTTTAATTTTCAGCCAATTCTGTCCTGAGCATGCTTTAAAATAAGTAGTTTTAAACAGAAACAAGACACCTATTGATTCAATACATGTTTTTTATTCACGGCATTGTACTGTGATCAGCCATCACTATGTTTCAAAAAGCTGCTCTGTTCTCACATTTTCAAATTTAGTAGGCCCATCCTCATACAGTAAGGCTCTGGAACAAAAAGTGCAGTAGATGCAGAAGTATTTCTTCTGCATTTTGGGGGACATCAGCTTTTCGCTGTTCCCACAGAATGTTGTTCTTCCTTTTAATCTCCCCAAAGGTGCAGTTGGTTTCAACATGCAGTAAGAGCATTTTTATACTTTCATATTTACTACTTCTTCATTTTACTATCAGCGAGATAAAAGAGTTGAAACAATTGTACATGAGAAAAGTTACGGTCTCATCGTCTCTCCAATAAATTATTGATATGTTTAGGAAAGTGGAATTCTTAAGACACTGGGCAACAAGAATGTAACTTGAAGCTTCGCTCCTTGGTTGGAGGTGTACGGATTTGGAGAAAAGCAATTTTTTGAGTAAAGATCGGACACAAATGGAGGCTCTAGGACTAGTAAAAATCAGTCAAAGAACAAAGCAAAGAGTATGCAGCATAATGTCTTCTCATCAGTATATGCTGAAAGACTAAATTAATTCTGAGACCAAGAGAATTGTTCTAGCTTCCTAAAAATACGTCACATGAAAGAGTAAAAAAGTTTCTATGTTTTATAGTCCCTCTAACCTTGACTGCAAGCTAAACTCATCAATTTAAATTTAGGCTTTTGGCACACAAGATCTGCTATCTGTCTGCAGTGATATCATGTTTGAGAAGTTATGGGCAATGAAAAGCATCAACTAGACCAAAACTTTGTCCATGTTTTCCAAAGCATTATCCCTCTCAGTACTGATTAGTACTCTGTACCCTTCTCTGTCCTCTTAGTCAAGAAGACTAATTTGCAGTGGGTAGTTTCAACCCTATGGAATGCCTACTTTTGAAATTTATGAAGGGATGGATATAGTATTTTTAATATATGTTAAAACTTGTATCTCCATGGAGATTTCCTCTTTCTTGAGTCAGAAAGTATGGAGAAACTATGCTATCCTGGTGTGTTCTGCTTTGCTCCCCTAGGTAAGTGGACAACCATAGCTGACAGAGCTCCATCCCTTTCAAGGTCTTACATTTGACAATACTCTGGCTACGTCATCATGCACTGCCTGCAATTGTTTGGATATCGTATGTGGCTTTTGCACTGTTTTACATTTACTGCACCCTTGTACAAATCCATAATCCTTGCTGTACTACTGCATAAATCTGTTTTCAATATACGCATATACTTTCTTTTATCAAATCTCATTTTTGTTTTATATTATTAAACTACAGGCCTAATGACCACCTTGGCGGGACACAGTCTTGGTGAGCATGGACATCAAGAGCAAACAAACAAGAATAGGACCAAGAAGCTTTTTTGAATGAGGTTGAATATTACATATCAAGATGTTGGGAAGAAAGACCACGTTTCCCTGAGTGGGAGGCCCAAGACAAACAACTGATCGGGAGGAATAAATGCGTAAATATCACATTTATTTCTTTTGGCAGCAGTAAGTCCAATACTGTCTCTGGAACATCAGTCACACTGCAAAAAGTGGTTTGATAGTGGTTTCTTCATAATCTGAAGCACTTAGCAGCCTGATGAGATTCTACTGGCTCAATTTCACAAGCATATTTCACTGCATTCTGCTCCCAACTTTTAGCCATCACTGCTGAAGACATGACCTGGCACTCAAGAATCCCAGGAAAGAAGTATATTTTCATATGAAGCTTGAACATTGATGGTCTCCATGCAGATTTCAACTGGCCAAACACATTACCTAAAGCTGTCTGCACGGAACTGAAGTATTTTGGATAAAGATAAAGATTCCAAGCAACTTGTTTCATCAGCCATGGACGCAAAGAGTCAAGAGGTTTGACAAGTATGTAGGACATGCTCATCTTTTTGACCTTAATGGAGAATGCCTTCACTGAAGGAAATATGTCTCCAGAAACATCCACCACTGACTTCATTGATGCTGTCCCTCAAGTCCTTGTCTGATGTATTTACCATTATCTGGTGACAGATAGGGATAGTTTCATTAGTACAGGAAAAACCCTCCACATCGGCATAAATGGGTAGTCAACCAATCCACACAATAGGCTATTCCTATATTATCCCAGCACACCTTTGGAGAACTGCATGTGCAAATTGTCAATGACTTAGTAATCATGGAATCATAGAATGGCCTGGGTTGACCTAGTTTCAACCCCCGTGCTCGCCAACCACCAGACCAGGCTGCCCAGAGCCACATCCAGCCTGGCCTTGAATGCCTCCAGGGATGGGGCATCCACAGCCTCCTTGGGCAACCGGTTCCAGTGTGTCACCACCCTCTGTGTAAAAAAACTCCTCCTAATACCTAATCTAAATCTCCCTGTCTCAGTTTAAAACCATTCCTCCTTGTCCTATTCTATCACTATCCATCCTCATAAACAGCCTTTTCCCCTCCTGTTCATATGCTCCCTTCAAGTACTGGAAGGCCACAATGAGGTCTCTCTCCCCAGAGCCTTCTCTTTTCCAAGCTTGACAAGCCCCATTCCCTCAACCTTTCCTCATAGGAGAGGTGCAAGAGCCCATGGGCATGGCACCTCCTGCAGCTGAAGCTAGAAGGCCTCATCAGCAGGCTCTCCCTGATCAGGTGGCCTGTAGCAAACCCCAATCACTAGATGCCCTTTTCTGGACTGATCCATGATTTTAACCCACAAGCTCTCAACCTGATCGTGGCTGTTTCTCAAGACACAGCTCTTTGCAATATATCCACTTCCTAACATAGAGGGCAACTCCGCCACCCCTCCTACTCTGTCTATCCCTTCTGGAAAGTCTGTAGCTCTCAATCAGAGTATTCCAATTGTGGGACTCATCTTACCATGTTTCTGTGATAGCAATGAGATCAAACTTTCCCAGTTGCACCACGGTTTCTAACTCCTCCTGTTTGTTTCCCATGCTGCATGCATTGGTACAGAAGCATTTCAGCTTGGCTATTGGCCTCATTGCCTTCTAAGAGGAGCCCTCCCTAATAGCTTCAGGACAACTCCGGGGCTTTCCTCTACCACCTCCCAAGGTGACAGTGTTCCCATGTTCTTCGTCATCCAGTGCACCCTCTTCCGCTGCCATATCTAGTTTAAAGCCCATCTAACCAGCCCAGCCAGCTTGCTCCCTAGAATGTTTGTGGCTCTTCTAGTCAGTCACCTCCCATCTGCTGTCAGCATTCCCCCTTTTTCAAGGCTGCATCCCAAGCCATAGTACCCAAAGTCCTGAGCACAACACCATTTGCAAAACCATTCATTCAGCATGTCTGCCCTCCTCCTTTATACAAAGGAATCCCAGTCACCAACTGAGAGGACAGAGGAGAACACTACTTATGCTCCCAATCCCTTCAGCAGTCTTCCCAGTGCTCTTAAGTCCCTTTTGATCACCCGAGAACTTCTTGTGCCTACCTCTTAATTTCCAATGTGGAAAACTAGTAAAGGATAATAACTGGACAGCTTGACCTAGTGAGTGTTGCTCCTAGCAACATCTCTCACCTGGGCTCTAGGCAGGCAACTCACCTCCCTATATGATGGGTCTGAGTAGCATATCGGGCCCTCAGTTCCCTTCAAAAGGGAGTCCCCAATGAGAGCAGCCCTTCTTTCTTTCCTAATTGATGCTGTAGCGATATGAGGAGCAAACTGACTAGCCCTGGACAAACTCTCCTGCATGGATGGACCTTCACCCACATCAACATCCCCCTGTCCCTCCAACTCCAGAACCTGTTATGTAAGGGCACTTGGGAAGGTGGGACAGGTTGAGAGGCATTCCACTCGCTGCCCCAGACAGGGACTTGTTTCCATCCCTTGCTGTCTCTGAGGTGACCCCCTCCCATCTGACTGTTAGAGGACAGATGATCCCCCACTGCCTGAAGAGCATCTCTCCCATGCCCTTCACTGTAGGGATGGAGGAGCGTGACTCCACCCATCAGTTTCCTTCCCACAATCCCAGATGCTTCTCAGCCTTTCTACTTCCTCCTTTAGTTCCACCACCAGGCTGAGCAGATCATCCACCTGCTCACACCATACCCAGGTGGTATTCCTGCTGCCCTGCTGTAGCAGTCACAGTGCCAGGCATTCTCTGCAGTCTGAGACCTGAACTGCTGCACGGACATACATACTTTCAAGTCTCCACGTCCTTTTTAGCAGCAGCTCCCCACGTGTAGAGACCATGACTGCGTATCAGTGTGCCAAAAGATCAACGACCTGTTAAGTGAGTTAAGTGGCCCCTTACGCCTCCTCCTATATGGCAAGCTGCCCTGCCCTGCCCTGCCTGCTCGCCCTGCCTGTGTGAACTCGTATAATGAGGTTAAACTTTTTGAAAACCTCTTCAGCTCTTTGATCAACAGTTACGGCTACTGGTATCTCAACATCACTTTGCCTACCTACAAAGTGCTGGCAATGGTGGCCTGTTACTGCTGATATCTTATTCCCCACAGTCAGTGGCTCTCGTGCAGGCTTGACCACTTTATTAGGTAAAGAATGAACTTAGCACATCTTTTCAGTAACACCTGTCACACCTTTACATTTTCAACTTACTGAAAAACATAGCTCTAAGGTCAGCTACCTCTAATAAATTACCACTTTCCACAGACTCCCAGCTGCTACTGGACAAACAGCGGCACTATTGCAAGGCCCTGCTAATTATCCAGGCAACTCCAGGAAATAGTCCAGGATTTTTGTCTGGGTTGTAATCATCCCGTTATTTATACTGGCAGTAAAGTAACTACCAAACATGCTGGTAACAAGTACTAGCTCCATACCTCATGCTTTTGGAAAGCAAGGTCTTAAGGAGGCTGCACCACATCAAAGCTGTACACAGATTGTATTTTACTGTGCACTTTGTATACAGTCAGCATTTCGCTTATTTGTTTCTGGAAGCAGACTATTGGACTATATGCCTGTATTGTCTATTTTGTTTATCATTTTTCTCTAGAGCCCTGATTCCTTAATCATCTACAGTGTGTATGCACTAGTTTTTGCTAGGACTCCAATCTGGTTTGAAACAATTACTTATTTTTGTGAGGCTCAAAAGAAAGAGTAGTTTGCTTCAGTATCCACTTCCTACAGATAATAAAGGTATGGACTATATCAGACTTCATTCTTCGTGACCAGAACTACACATATTTGTGGTCATGTCACAAAAAGACAAAGCTAGCAGTCTCCAAAAGCCACTCTGTTTTCTTGGCTCCTTCAGTTCTCAAGTGTGAAAATAATGGCACTCGGGTAGAGACAGTGACCAGGATCTTGTTTTGTGATAATATTACTGAGACTGTAATATATAGATTGTGAGAGACAGCACCTCTGTCCCTGAAGCACTGAGCTGCACCAGCTACTGTGGGAAAGCCACCACAGAACTTCTACTGTATGACATATGAGATTCAGTATGAACTAAGGGAGCTGAAGATCTGGTTTTGCCTCTTATTTTTGGTATGCCTACAAGACTACACAGTGTAACAAAGAAGAAAGGAGACTTCTACAGCAATTAGGATGGAAAGAGGCTTGTACCGCATACGGGAAGAGTAGGCTCTTTAATTAGCAGAGTGACACATCTGTTTCTTTGACAGTTAGTTCTGACAAGCACTATGTGCACAAAACAACTGAATACATCTCAACTTTTCTTGCTGGTGGCAAGTAGTAGGGCATCAGGCTGTGGAAACTGCAAGGGTATAGCTGCTTTCCAAAGCAGAACAGATTTGGGCAGAAATCCATATCTAGCCACATCTATGGGCATGGTGCAATTACTCATCTGTGTTTCAGCTGTGTTCCCTAGGCCTTGGCTGACTAGTTGGGGTTTTCCAGAGTCACAGAACAGCTTATCCTACCCTAAAGGTAAGAGATACTCACTGAGCTAGCCTGTTTGCTCCTCGGGAGCCAGGTCCTGCTGCAGTGACAAGATGTAGGAGAGCAATGCTGCCCTGTCAAGAAGGGGAGAGGCAGCTATTCATCAGGAAAACTTGGCATGAGGAAACAAGGAAACAGAAGCGAGACTGATAATATCTGGGAGCTGAACCTCTGCCATATTTCTGTTCAGGAAAGACCTGCCAGCCCTGTTAGAAATGTTGCTTCTCCCCAAAATAGACCCCAGGTTTCTGCTCCCCTGGCCACTAAGATGGCCTGTGACACATTGATATGCCCATGATCATACCACAGAGATGCCTTACTCCCTCTTTCTTGTATACATCTGCATCGCCTCACTAAAGTGTTTCCTATCAGAGAAGGAGGATTTTTCTG